AAATGTGGTGGTCCTCCAGGAACGTGGTTGAGAAACACTGATTTAGTGAATTTAATTTCATCTTTAAAAAATAGAAATGTCAAAATGTTCTATTCTTAAAATGTATATTTATTTTTGCACGTGTAGTATTGCCTACTTAGTTACATTCACTGTATTTTAATTTTATTTTCATTAATATCAAGATTGTTCTATTGGACAACATTGAACAAGAAAAAAAAGAAGATGAAAAACCAAATATAAAAGCAAAAAAACTAAATATAGAGTAGGGCTGAGTGATATAGCAAAAAAAAAAAAATCAGTTATTGTCTTTAAAAACGTCATGATTTTCGATAATGTCTACCCCGCCGTTGATGCTAGCATCCAACATCAATTTCTTCATGATAAAAATGGAGAAGGACAGCCTTAAAATCAAAATCAAATCACTTTTATTGTCACATCATAAGCAGCACGTGTGCTGTGATGAGTGAAAAGCTTAGGTGCTGGCTCCAGACAGTACAAAACACAGCAAATACAACGACAGTCCAAAATACAGTAAGTGCAAAATACAAACAGTACAAAAACAGCGATAATGTGAAATTGACAGCGATATGTACAATGAATAGGCGTCCACATTGTTGTAGGCAGTATTGTTTCAAGTATGAATTGGTTCAAGTGCAGTGCATGCCACATATTGATGGTGTGCAGTGAGGGTTATGGAAGAGTCTGTGTGTGGTGTGTTAAGTGTTCATCAGCCTGATAGTCTGAGGGAAGAAGCTTTCCTTCAGCTGGCTGGTGCGTGATCGGATGCTGCGGAACCATCTGCCTGAGGGTAGCCGAGAGAAAAGTCTATGGCTTGGGTGGCTGGAGTCACTAATAATTCTCTTGGCTTTCCTCATGCACCGCCTGGTGTAGATGTCCTGGAGGGAGGGAAGTCCAGCAGTTCGCACAATCCTATGTAGGCCTTTGCGATTGCTGCTGGTGCTATTTCCATACCAGGTGGTGATACAGCCAGACAGGATATACCTAAGAAAGGATCTTCATGCATTGTTCAGCAGTATTTTGGTTTCAAATCGTGTGGCAGGTGCAAATGGTAAACCAGAATATGCGACTATCTGCAGGCTTTGCAAGAAAAAAGTAAAGGTATATTTCAATCCAGCTTAAAATACAGTAGTATAATATTTTGTCCATATGCCAGCCCTAATCTGTAATGTAATCAATAATCGACATGGTCTTAGTATGCATCATAGATATATACATTAGATGTCGCCTACCCTGTTGTTGTCTATTGGAAGGAATGCGTCAATAGAGCCGCCATTTTGGAACAGGGTAGCGCTGCTTTGAAATGAATGCGGGACCAAGGTACAGTGGAGGACTGTGGCCATCCAAAGCCAGAGATATACACATATATCTATGATCGGGAGTTTTCCTGGACGTTAGAATGCAATTTTCTTTTTAATTACGAAAATTTATAATTTTTCATCACTTTTCTACATTGATGGATCAGTGATCGCACTGGCATTCCTGACAAAAAGCTTGTGTTTGTGTGTATGGAAATGTACTATCCACCCTCCATGTTAAATTTGATCTAATCATGTCCTGAAACACAGCTCCTCTCCTGCTTTCACTTCTCATACTGACGGAGGGAGTGATTCGTTTGTGAATGAATCTCCGTTATGAACGACTCTTTCACTAGCCGATCATACAAGTTTCTGGCACCGCAGCATCTCGTTATCATATTTCTTTTGCACAGTTTGCTGATTTTATTCAACAAAACTAGCGTGTGCTGAGTGTTTAGTGCGAGTTGGAGCTACTTTGCCTTATGGTGAATGCAGTAAGTGACTGTATTATCATCAATATTGTTACCTGTTTAGCACAAAAGTTCAGAACATACAAAAACGTAAAAAAACTAAACCGTACCGATGAAATGTTCTGCCTTTGTGTTATGCTTTCTTTGTTTGCTCGTTACTACACCCGTAGACTGCTCTAAAGTCCCGCATCTTGACGTAATAACACTGTCTTGACTAGTGCGGTTGAATGACACTTCTCCTGGGAGCACTGTACCAATGTGGCGGCGCTATTGACGCATGCTCAGGGTCCCTATGCGATATCTAGTGTATATGAGTATGCATCCTTCTTATTGCTTCTTTAATCCATGTTAGTAAATGTTTACTTGAAGCTAATTCTACTGGCAGCAAGTCAGTGCTTTTCTTATTTTAGTATTTTTGGTGAACACTGATTCTGTGCTGTTTTAGTCAAAACAGAGATAAGATATATTATTAATCTCTAGTCTGGCCAGTTTTAAAGTATTTCAGTGCTCACCACTAGAGATTCTTGTCTTCTCGATGGCTGTTTATGTATTTATGTAATGCTCATGAAGGTTGTCTACTGGTTGTCTTCAATGCAGAGCAAGAAAGCGCACGTGATGATAACCGTGTCGTTATTCACATGCAGACTTCATTGAATCTCTAATCCCATTTCTATTCACATTTCATCAAGGCTAGCCGCTGAACCTTGAGCATTGACCTATGCATGCAGAGAGTTCTGTGGCTCTCAGCCCTGTCAGGCGGCCTCAGATACTATCAGGTGGTGGTGTGGTGTTGTGAAAGATTGTGTCCCAACTTGATCTGCTTAACTGGCAAGCCATTGGTCATCATTTCATTAGTTGTTGTTGGAAGTACCCACTCTAGTCTGAACCCTCTGTAGGATAGTCAATGAGCTGTAAACAAAAGTTGTAGTCATTTTCTGGCCATTGCCGCACGTTTCTTTTGTTGTAGATGTGTGTAACATGGTCTTTATAACAGATTGAGTCTGTGAATCAGACTCATTTCATCAGGTTGTGTCCACTCGTTTGGACGATGCTGACGACACATAAAACAGGTGCTGCTGAAGGATCAGTCTTGTGCCTCCGTCCCGTGGTTTGCATTACCGTTGCTCTCCTGTTACTGCGTGAATCTCGCTGTTGGCAGACAGCTGTGCATCATACTGATCTCCGATGTGCCAAATGCGTCCCTGCAATCTTGAACTGCCATAATAACCAGAGACCGCAATGCTCGGAAAGACATTTTCAGGTCACTTCATGCGGATTAAGGTTTAAGCCTTCTCCATGTTTTATTCAGTGCCTGTTTTCTTGAAGTTTAGCTTTACTGATTGTTTTGTTCTCTGAAGGGCGAGGGCGGTGAAGTTAGGCCACCCAGGAGACCGACTTGTTGACTCGACTTGTTGACGTGTTCTTGCAGTGTTAGATGATATCCTCCTCCCTTCATTCAGTACATTGTGGTGTCTATTTAGTAAACATGAGACACAAGGACTTAGGCCCAATACCAATTCTACCCATTAGCCCTTCCCCTTACTTTTACCCCTCGTTTTACGCGGTCAGGTGAAGGGCTGTCCCAATTCTATTTAGCTTGAAGGTGTAGGACTAAGGGGAAGGGCTAGGTAGCCCTTGAAACAGATTTTCCAGGACCACATTAAAGACCAAGAGGTACGAAAATTTCCCAGAATACTCCATTTACAAAGGCAACATGGCTGCATGCGAGAGTCAGGAGGTCTACAAATACGTATTTATTGGCATTAAGAGTTTTCACAACTTTTTAGCTTTCCAAAAAAAAAAATCGAATGGGGATTGGGCCTCAATCTTAAGGGGTTCCTGTTATGCTTTTACACTTTTGACTTGCATTTAGTGTGTAATGTTGCTGTTTGAGCTAGGAAAGAAGTTAATAAAGCACTCTATATCTGTTATAGTGAACAAGGCCTGAATCTCTATATCACTCTAAGTTACTCTATATCAGTAAGAACTCTATCCCCCGGTTTCACAAACAAGGTTTAAGGCTAGTCAAGATTAAATTGCATGTTTCATCGGTCTCAACTCAAAGAAAAACTTGCGGTAAGATGTCTTAAAATACGTCAGTGTCATTTTTTTTGTCTCCAGGTGAACACCAGTGATATATTTTTCTAAGGCCATTTTTATAAATGTGGCTTAAATAGCCTTATTTAACTTAGGCCTAGTCCTGGCTTAATCTAAGCCCTGTTTGTGAAACTGGGCCTATATCTTTGGTGGATGAGAGAGCTTAACGCACTGGAATTAAAGGCTGATGTATACTCCTTCGTCAAGTGCACGCATATATATTCGCACAACCTACATGTGGACGCATAGCCCTTACAGTGGCGGTCACCAACGTTGACACGTACCTCTCAAAAAATAAAACTACACAACGCAACAACTCGTAGCACAAGCTCCGTGATCGATTGGCTTGGTAGCGCTGATGAGTATGGGTGGAGGTGAGAGCCGCACGAGCCCGATGGAGTGAGTGTTTACAAGTGTGGAGTCCCATGAAGGAGCTCTAGATGGAAACTGTGGCTTTGAACTCTATTTTGAAGATCCAGGCGCAAGGTCCAAGGCGCAGCGATTTGTTTTAAAACTATTTCTAAATTCAGTTCTAATAAGTAACATAATAATAATAATAATAATAATACAAATAATAATAATAATAATAATAATAATAATAATAATAATAATACAAAAATGTATACAGTGCCCTCTGGTGGATTTGTCATCTAAAACATGCAGCAAAACAAACCCATAGCAATGTATTTTATCTTCTGTTAAAATGTAGGCTGAGGAACGTATTACTGGGTTGAACATAATGGTGTGTCCAAGAAGACTGGAACCATTGATGACTCAATAACTTCATTTATCTGAACTGATCTTCAAACTTTGCAGTCCTTTGTTTTACATCCACAAACAGTAACGTTACACACTACATGATAGATCATTTCATGGAAATAAAAGCATAATGGTGCACTTGAACAACTCTTAATGTCGTCTTTCTTTAATAGTTGTGTTTGTGTTCTTCCTCAGTTGCACAGTGAGGATGACTCCTCTGAATATTAAAAACACTGTGGCCTTTAGTTATGTGATATGATGTGTAAAGAATTGGGTGCATCTGAAATAACGGTGCACTAGAACAACTCAAAGTGGTCTTTCTTCAGTCTGAATAGTTGTGTTTTGTATGCCTCCTCAGTTGCACAATGAGGATGACTCCTCTGAAGGGGCCGCCAGTGCTGAACCGTCCACATCCACCCAGGCCGTTGGCGCTTTGGAGGGAATCAGCAACCTAGCAGTGGATACAGAAGCTCCACCTCCTCCATATGCAAGCGTGGCACTTGGAGCAACAGCTGCACCAGGTATGGAGATCCAAAAAGATTGATCATTTCCTCATTTGATCTGATCTGATTGATCATTAAAACCCTCGGCCAGATCACACGATTTTTATTGTCGGTTATGAAAGTCAGATTATGTGGTTATTGTCTTGATAAAATTTTGATTTGTCATGGGAATCAACTGTGCCAGACTACATGTTCCTTCACGATCAGTTATTCCGGGACGTCTACGATGAGCGTTATTTCCTAAAGCAGTCACAAGTGTTGCAATAACGATATTTCTTACCTCAATTTCAATATTTTTTTTTTATCTTATTTCAATCTCTGTAAACACTGATGCTTGCTGACAACTAGGCTGCATTATTTAAAGGCATTTGTTATGACATTGATAGGGTCAAACATATATTTTCTTTTTAATATTAAGATATTTTCATTTAAATCTAAATGTGTATTTTTCAGCCATGGGCTGCTTATTAAACACTCCCTTACCTGAACTTGCCACGAATGAGACGGAGAAAATGAAAGCACATCAGCACCGAGGAAAAATCAGATGCTTATGACAAAATAATGATATATTAAAAAAAATTTGCAAATATATGACAGAGGTGGTGACGCAGTGGGTAGCACGTTCGCCTCACAGCAAGAAGGTCGCTGGGTCGATCCTCGGCTCAGTTGGCGTATCTGTGTGGAGTTTGCATGTTCTCCCTGCGTTCGCGTGGGTTTCCTCCGGGTACTCCGGTTTCCCCCTCAGTCCAAAGACATGCGGTACAGGTGAATTGGTTAGGCTAAATTGTCCGTAGTGTATGAGTGTGTGTGTGTATGTGTGGATGTTTCCCAGAGATGGGTTGCAGCTGGAAGGGCATCCGCTGCATAAAAACTTGCTGGATAAGTTGGTGGTTCATTCCGTTGTGGCGACCCCAGATTAATAAAGGGAATAAGCCGACAAGGAAATGAATGAATGATTGACAGAGGTTTGTGATACAACAGTTACAGTGGAGCATTAAATCCTTATTTTCCAAGAGCGAAACAAATCATCCACCAACACAGTTCAGTAGTGGATGGGCACAAAAAAAGAAAAAGAGAATAATTTGTAAATTTTTCTTGGAAAGAATATTTGATTTTAAACAAGTTTTGTTTGTTATAATTTGTATCTTAATTTTAATGTAGTTTTTGTTGGTCAGTTATCTACCAGTCCGCTATATACTTCAGCCACCCATTACTAGGCTAAATATGCAGCCTATTTTTTGATTACTTGACCCGCTGAATGAAGGCATCACCGTTCATCTAACTGTAAAATTATGTGCTCCTATTGGCCATTGTCACCCACGTGACTGAACTGTGACCAACAGGAAAGAAAATGAAACATTCTAGACTTTCTGGGATGGTGTCCTGAGAGGTGGTATCAGTTGTCGTGAACTATGCCATATTAAACGAGAAGAAAGGATTGAATCTTGTGTCACAACACCCATTTGTTTTTTTCGACTCCCTACATCAAGGAAATCGTGCCGAAATCATGACAAACTCATGTGATCTGACCGGGGCTTAAGACAATACTGTGATTAAGAGTCAAACTTTTGATGACCTTAATTCGATTTCTGCTTAGTTCCATTATGACTTTAGTCGGATTAAGACATGTAGGCCCAATCCCAATTCTATTTTTGTACCCCTTCCTCTTTCCCTTGGCCCTTACAACAGAGGGTTAAGGGGAAGGGCTTCAAAAGTTACCCCTAAGAATTGGTGCAATACTACAACACCAGCACACGGCATCAAATGTCCTCGCGATTTCTTGCTTCATATGAGAACAGACGATCGCGACTGCTGGAGTGATTCCAGTTGTGTTATTTTTTGGTATTTATCTTCAGGAAATCACTGAAGGTATATATTATGTTATCATAATGATCTAATGAGGCAATAAGATCGTAATATTGTGCATTTAACACAGTGGCCATGCTCATCAATGTAAACACACAAAACAGCCTTAACATTATAGCAGACACTGTAAACAGCTTATTGACAGCCACTAGTCTTTTTTGACAGGGTATTCCAGTGTCATCGAGTGTCAGAATGTTGTGGGACTGCTGTACAGGAGTTATTATTAGGGATTGCAGATCGCTAAAATTATGCAATTTTTTAAATTTTTTTTTTTATTTTTTAATTTAATTTTTTTATTTTATTATTATTATTTTTTATTATTATTATTATTATAATTTTTTAAGTATGACGGTAAAACACGAACGAGGTTATGAATATAATAAAATGTGTTTGTTTGTTGTAAAAATTAGTAATAATGACAAAAAATACTAATTTGTGGATCTAATTACTTCCGGGTGCAGCTGTTGCTGGGGTATTCTGGGAAATTTTTCTTACTTTTTTCAAGTGTGGTTCTGAAAAGTCTTCGTTTAAAGAGGTGTATACCCCTTGCCCTTAGCCCTACGCCTTCAAGCTAAAGAGAATTGGGACACCACTACCCCTTCAAGGGCACGCGCAAAATGAGGGGTAAGGGGAAGGGCTAAGGGGTAGAATTGGGATTGGGCCGTGGAGTGTTTACATGGTATACCCTTAATCTGATTATTGTATTAAAATCAAAGTATTAGTGTCCATGTAAACTTACTTGATTCCATTGAAAGAAACTAAAGTTTTTCCTCTCACTAGAAGTAATTCGGTTAATCACAGCCATATATTTATTCAAAAGAGATGTACTGTAGGTGTTTTATCCAAGCTTTAATGGCAGGGAAAGTCCCTTAAACTTGCGAGCGGTCATGTATGATGTATTTCTAAGTGGTTATATTTTCGCAATTTCACAGGAACTGATTCAGAATTTCCGTATAAACAGATCAACCTTTTTTTTGTGTGTTGTGCAATGCAGTAGGGCCTTTTTTGATGCATGCTGCATCATGTCTGCTTGTGAAAGATCAACTATTTATAAAGAATGATCATGTGACTTGCATCCGCCATATGCTCTGCAAATGGCAAAAAAAAAAATGATGTAAGGACATTTTTGCCGAATTGTCATGTTTCCATTAGGCAGATTTTCAATTCACTACTTAAAGTGGGACAATTTGGCTGAATTTACACTGCACTGTTCAAGTGACTCAATTCCGAATGTTTTTTTTTTTTTTCTTCTGTCATGTGGCACAGATCGGATATGGCCCATGTACTTGTAAGCAGGAACAAATCACATGGATTCCGATTTACTCAAATCAGATTCATGCCTTGTTCACTATAACAGGTAAAAAGAATTAATAAAGGAACTCGGCAGAAAAGAAAATGAATGAATGAATAAATAATTTAAAGATATTCTGAGGATATTCTCAATATAAGTGTGCCAAATATTATTATTATTATTATTATTTTTTTTTTTTTTACCAAGCACAAGGCAAAACCTACTGCTTATGATCACTGCATCACAATTTTTTGCATTAAGGAATTTTTCTCACATCTCTAGAAATGAACAATAGTAATAGTGATTGTGATGCTCCTTTGAAGACTCGAAACTAGAAATGTGTGACGAATGGCTGACCTATGTTTTCTCAATTGTTTTTCAGAAAGCACATTTGCAGGGGACTTTCCCGTTCCTCCACCATACAGCATTGCCACGTCTCTGCCCACTTACGATGAGGCAGAGAAGGCCAAAGCAGCAGCCATGGCTGCATCCGCGGTGGAGGTCATTCCACGAGTGAGTTTCTCATCTGCCTACAACACTACATGCTCTGCAGAAACAAATACCAAGCCCTCGATTCACACATCTTTTCACTGGGACTCAACCATTTTAGAAAATAATAGATTTTAACCAGTATTGCGATGGGGATTTTTATCTTCAGTATTATTAAAAATAGACAAGCATTCAGTTAGAGCTAAAGTACATCTAGGAGGTTGTTAGCGCAGAATAAAACTTTACTTGATTATCGGCTTTTTGTTGACTGAAGGCCTTTATTCTTTGAAAACAACTATCCTCAATGTACTTTATCCAGTTTATTACACTGCTACTTGCCACAAAATATAAAAATTGTACACAAAATATTGCAGTGAGCCATATTAGTTTATTAATTCTCTAATTAAATGCAAAGCTGACAGAAAGGAAAGCAGCTGAATAGAGCTGATGGAGCTTAAACTAACCTGCACATTACTCAGCTACAAGATGGCGCCAAACAGTCAAAAATGCAAATCTGACGGAAACAGAATCAGTTGAATGGGGAATTGACTAAACGATGTATTAATCATTTAAAAGACTACACCAAACAGTCAGAAACAGGGCAGTGACAGAGAGGAAAATACATATATAAGTAAATGTTAGTATATGTATGTGAAGGTAGGACCATTCACAGACAGTCATGGTGATTCGAAGTTCCCAGATGAGGCTGTGTTATTCAGCGGTTGTTAACTAAGATAAACATACCTTGGAATGTCTCAACTGACCAATCAGAAGTGAGTATTCCAAACAGCCATGTTATAAGTAAGGAAAAAAGTACATCCAGCCAGGTGTTATTGCAAAATAAAGCCTGACAGGTTATCGGCTGTTGTATAACCCTGAAGAGCTTTATTTTGCAAAAACAACCACCTGAATGTACTTTATCCTACTTATTACATGGCTACTTGTCACAAAGCTCTAAGCTGATTGAAAGGAAAACAGCTGAATAGAGCTAATGGGGCATACACTAACCCACACATTATTCAGCTACAAGATGGCGCCAAACAGTCAAAAACGCAAATTTGACAGAAACAGAATCAGTTGAATAGAGAATAGACTAAATGATGTATCATTCATTCACAAGACTCCAGCAAACAGTCAGAAACAGGGTAGTGACAGATAAGCAATTACACATTAATATAACTATAAGTATTTGGATGTGAAGGTAGGACCGTTCACAGACAGTAATGGTGATTCGAAGTTTCCGGATGAGCTTGTGTTATTCAGAGGTTGTTAACTGGGAATAACATACCTTGCAATGTCACGACTGACCAATCAGAAGTGAGTATTCCAGACAGACGGGCTATAACTAAGGTATAAAGTACATCCAGTCAGGTGTTATTGCATAATCATCAGTTGTATAAGATTGAAGGGATTTATTTTGCAAAAACAACCGCCTGGATTTACTTTATCACAATTATTACATGGCTATTTGCTACAAAGCATAAAATTAAGACCCAAAACATTGTTCTGAGCCATAATAGTTTATTAATTCTTTAATTAAAACAAAAACAGCTGAATGAAGCATACACATACCTATGTATTATTCAGTCACAAGCTGGCTCCAAACAGTATATACATACAGATGCGAAACTATCCACTGACTCTCAAGATGATTCAAAATACCTGTATGAGCCTGTGTTATTAGTTTCAGCAGTTTTTAGTGGTTTTAAAATAAAGTACTGTGGTATCATTGTATTTTATTGTCCAACCCCACCTTTAGGGTTGTCAAAAGTATCGAATGTCTAGACTAGGTGGCCAATCCTGTGCCTGGAGAGCCACCTTCCTGCATATTTCAGTTGCTACCCATATCAAACACACCTGAACCAATTAATTAGGACCTGAACACCACATGATAATTACAGCCAGGTGTGTTTGATATAGCTAGCAACTGAAATCTGCAGGAAGGTGGCTCTCCAGGAACAGGGTTGGCCACCCCTGGTCTAGATCAATCGCTACTAAAATTTTAAAACATTTATTTTGAGCGTGTTCTTAAACACCACTGATTGGCCATGGTGTTCACAAGCTCAACAGATATGACTGTGATTGGCCGTGAAGGGCATTGGTTTAGACACTGTAGCGTTTTAAAGCCACGTCAATCACTTGATCCATCAGCGAATCGCTCGTATGTCAGCTTTGAAAAACTCCAGTGTCCATGTTTGTACTTGCTAAACAGTGGTGAGGAGTGGTAAACCAATGACCTTCATGGCCAATCACAGTCATATCTGTTAAGCATGTGAACACTATGGGCAATCAGCGAAGTTTAAGAATGCGAAATGAACGTTTTTTTTACATTTCCGATTTCTAGTGAGCTTGATACTTTTGACAACCTTACCTACCTTCCACTGTGGCTTTGTTTGTCCAAATACCTTCTCTCAACGGGACAACAAAAATCTGTAGATGCTTTCTGATTAGCTTTTAGCATCAGCATAAAAGAGACATTTTTGGAGGATGTGGTGTGCCATAAAAGCCTTGACCTAGAAAGAGAATCCCTCAGAAACTCTGATTTCTCTGAGCTCAAATCTAGATGTGTTATGCAATGCGGCCCCAAAAAGTATTTGAGCGCTCTTAAGATTGTGTGAATGTCGTCGCATTCGATAACAGAATGTCAAAGCAGCTGACATCTGCAAACAAACACGGCTTTTCTCAGAACTAACTTCCCTTTTGTGAGCCTTTTTTTGCTGTGACTTTCACACAGTGCGTTCAAAGTGATGTGTTTGAAACAGAATGCAAAACTGCTACTTGCTGAATACTAACACATTTAAAATAGTGCATAGTTTAAATGTTCAGGGTCTATGTATTCATTTAAAGGTGCGTTATGTAAGTTTTTGACTCTTCTAAAGCATAAAAAATACCATAATATGTTTGAAGATGTTTAAGAAACATGCTAAGTAAACATTCTTGTTTATCTGTGTTTGTTTTGGTTCCCTTTAACCCGCCAAATGCCAGTTCAGCCAATTATATTTCAGCTCCCCGGGTTTCCTTGATTAAAAAACAGCCTATTTCATTAATGCAGTCAGGAAGGCTCTCTAAGCATGCATCCGCAACCATAATGCATCCTCCGGTGGACAGATTTCCACATGACGTAGTTATTAATTATTAAATTATATAAATATTACGAACGTAAACATTTGGTGAGCAGGGTATATTGTAGGACCGTGTACAAACAACACAATAAGTAATAAGGTTTGCAGTGATAAGCAGTTTAACAGAGTTGCAACACGACAGAAATTCATAAACAGCCATTCTTAAGCACAGAATAGTGCACTCACTGCACTCCAATGAAATGGTAAGGTTTATAATCTAATTAATACATATTAAACCTCTTTAACAATATTAAGGCGATGCGGTGGTGCAGTAGGTAGTGCTGTCGCCTCACTGAAAGAAGGCCGCTGGTTCGAGCCTCGGCTGGGTCAGTAGGCGTTTTTGTGTAGATTTTGCATGTTCTCCTCGTGTTTGTTTAGGTTTCCTCCAGGTGCTCCGATTTCCCCCACAAGTCCAAAGATATGTGGTATAGGTGAATTGGGTAAGCTAAATTGTCTGTAGTGCATGTGTGTGAATGAGTGTGTATGGATGTTTCCCAGGGATGGGCTGCAGCTGGAAAGGTATCCGCTGCGTAAAACATTTGCTGGAAAAGTTGGTGGTTCATTCCGCTGTGGCGACCCCAGATTAATAAAGGGACTAAGCCAAAAAGAAAATGAATGAATGAACATTATTAAATGTAGATGCTGAATCACTGATATGTGTCGCTTTGCACATTTTGTCTTAGGAGAGTTTTCCAAAGCATTTTTGATTCACTTGTAATGTTGACTACTTTAGAATACGAATTTAAATAACTCCAGAAACAGAATAAATCAGAGTATTTTTGAAGACTTTTGCTTGTTATGGAAGCTCAACAGCTCTGTTTAAAGCTTTTGTAGGAATGGAGTTTTACTGCGTGTTGCTGAAGGCGTAGGCTTGATCATAAAGGAGCAATTCACATAAAAAATGGTAATTATGCCATTTACTCGCTCTCACGCCATTCCAACGCAGTGGAACACAAACCATTGTGTAAAATTTTAATATTTATCACCAGTGGATTCATACAGTGATGGTGAAAGTAAAGGACTATGTGGCTAAAATAAAATAAAATAAAAAAAGATGAGATATAAAAAAAAATAAAAAATAAATAAACAAAATATAAAAAATAAAATTAAATGAAAAAAAAGATAAAATCTAAAAAAAAAAATCTAAAATAAAATAAAAGATAATAACAAAATAAAATCTTAACTAAATCAATAAAATCTTCCTGCGTTTTCGTGGGTTTCCTCTGGGTGCTCCGGTTTAGCTGGATTAGTTGGCAGTTCATTCCGCTGTGGCGACCACGAATTAATAATGGGACTAAGCCAACAAGAAAATGAAGGAATGAAATCAATAAAATAAAATAAAATCTAAAATAAAATCTAAATTAAATAAATGTAAAAATAAAAATAAACTACAAAATACAATAAAATAAAAAAAAAATAAAATATAAATAAAATAAAATAAAAAATACAATTTAAATAAAATAATACAACTTAAAATAAAAATAAAATATGAATAAAATAAAATAAGATAAAAAAAAATTATTTAAATTAAATTAAAAAATAAACCCAGTAGTTCTGCAGTCAGACATTTACATATATTCAGAAGCATTATTTTTCCTTTTTTATTACAGCTTGAATTTTCTGAAACGTTATATCAGGTCTATTAATGAGAATTCACTTGCTGAATTCCTCATCATACAAAGCTGGAATGCATATTGCATGGAATATGCAATACAAAGCATGGAAGCCATATTGACCAGTGACTTTCAGATCTTTTGATTTTATATTTTAGCCAATTTATACTGTAAAAAAAATTATGTTGTAAATATAAAAGGTAATTTGTACTACATAACATATTAACATTTTGTATTCATCAATTTTACTTTATTTACATTTTATTTAAATTTAAATGTTCTAATATTTATATTGTTTGATTTTTAAATCCCTGATTGTAACAAAATATTTATTTGGTTAGCTTTTAACTTATTTTTCATTATTTAACTTATATAAACGTCTAATATAAACATTTATTTTAGTGAAATATTTATTTCCTTTTAAGTTCTATATTTATTTAGTAACTGCGTAAACTTGGTTATGTCTATTTATTTTAATTATTTTAATTATTTATTTAATAATTTATAATTTTTTATTTATTTGTGTATTTTGAAGCTTGACAGCTGAGCAATTTTTATTAGCCTTTATAGAAAAGGCCTTGTGCAAAGTATTTGTTGTTGTGTGAATCATGGCATTGGAACATTGTGAATGTTTCCTTTTAAAAGCAAAACAAAGATGAAATTCCCTTGAATACCCTTGAACTAGAAAAAAGCTGTTCTGAAGGGGCTGTCCCAGCTTTTGGAGCACTCCAAGTGTCTTTGTATACAAAATAAGAAGTCATCAAGCTTTGGAAAGGCAGAAAATTAAGATTTGTATCACTTTTTTTTTTTGGTAATTTAATTTAGTCTATAATTGAAGTGACTCTTTCAGAGAATTCAATAGAGGAAACTGCAGGGATTTTGATTCAGTATAAGACAGGAGTTTTTTAGTTCATTTTGGCATCTGTACCTTCAGTATAAATATCCTCTGCTGTTATTGGATAGCATAACAATTTAATTCATTTTTGTTAGTTTTCAGTTCACTTTTGCCTTTAAATGCACTTCTGAAACACTTTCTATATATTTTATAATGTTTTATATTTAATATGCATCTGCCTTTTGGAAAGGATGAAGATTTTCCGGTTCGGGATGACTTCAGTGATGCAGATCAGCTGAGAGTGGGAAATGATGGGATCTTTATGCTGGCCTTTTTCAGTAAGTCATGTATACTCTTTATGGGTCAAAGACCGGCATCAATGTAGTATATGTACAATATACATTTATTTACTACTTTAAGATGTTTTTCTCTCTTTTTGTAAGCATGTATAGCATTTTTTAAAGAGATCTTAACATGACAATTTCTTTCTCTTTTATAAAACTTTTAAGCCGAAGTCAGATTAATTATGTTTTATTTCTACAAAACAAAATTGTTACTCTGAATGATGATGGAAAATAATTTCATTTGTACTTTGATGTTTTCTCTTTTGCAAATGTTATCTAAAGCATGACAAAGCACCTCAGTTTAATATGCATTCTTTGCACATAAAATCACGTTTGCACTTTTATTTTCAAGCAGACACCCAAATGCCTCATCTTGAGTTTGTCCTATGTTTTTATACACATATTTTGGAATAGCAGCATATTATTGTAATCATACCAGGTTCAAAAATGCTTGCACACCTCGTTTGTTGCTGAAATGGATACACATGCAGCCAGAAATTAATAATAGTTGTTTACATTATTTATTAAATTACCATAAACCCAAAGTCAAACATCAAAGTATTAAAACGGTAATTATACCCATGCGAATTACAGGGGGGTTTGGTGCATTGACACCCCCCAAATAACTCATGATCCCGCCTGAAGGACGTCAAAACTAGATGCATTGTGAGTCTGTCCTTTATAGTGAGAAGTAGTTTTATCCTATCTGTATCTTAAATAATAAAGTTAATAATTACAATAATAGTTCATATAAAAATCTATTTGACCACCCCTGTAATGGATCATACCATTGTGAATGCATAATTGCGCCAATCAGTCTATGCGAGGTAAAAATATCCGCACATCTAGAGCACCGATAGACAAAGTAAGTATTCAAAAGACACCTTTCGTGTAAAATAGCTGTTTGTATCTAGATATAGCCTTAAAGTGAAGTAAAATTAGACGCATAGTTTTCATAGTTTGATCTAGAGTAACCTCTGAATTAAATAATCCGCGGTTGCTGTCAGAATACACTAAATACAAGCCTACCTCAAAACACTGAAAACTTGCATACGTTTTATTGATAAATTAGATGTAATTTAAACACATACATTTTATTAACTAAATGTATTAACTATTTATTAACCAGCATGTATTACACAAACTGAAACTACTGAACAAGTTGACTCCACCCCCCGATTGTCAATGTATAATTTACACCCTGCATTATTCATTAAATTACCCTAACGTTAAACCTAAACCCAACCACCACAGTAATGTAGAACAGCACTTATACAGAGTATTATTTATTAAATTACCAATTAAATTGTATTTAATTAACGTCCACCCCCACCCCAACTCTAAACCTACCCTTAACAGCAATGTAAACGTTGTACAGCGTCACAAACATTATGCTATAGTGAAGAGAGGATCCACAGCTGGATCCCATCTAGACTTTGCCACGTAGTACTGCATTAGTGATCGTTGTGCGCCCTCTGGTGGTAGTCCGTTGTGTTGCAGTCTGTGTGTTTCCATAAACAGTAAATCGTGTTTACATTCATTACAGAATTCTTCCAGATATCATGTTTTTTTGTATTAATCATTAAATAACTTTTTTTTTTTCAACAGAACAAAGACATTAATTCATAAAAGTTTAGAATCACTCGAGTCTGAGTAAATGCTGAGCACTTTCTTTTTTGTGAGTGTAGACTATCCCTTTAAGCTGGCATTTCAGAACTTCATTTGGTAAACTATTATGGTTATTTGCCCACTACACATTAATTAGGATGTACTAATTTTTGAACTTGTTTTTTTTTGTTAAATTACTTCTGGTTGTGGCTTTTTCTAATGTTTATGCACAAATATTTTATTGCTAAGCTGAAGAGATCTGTACTCATTTATGCTGAGCACACTATAAATACTTATGTTTTGTGATTTCATATACTTAAAAAAAGCACATTTAATTCATGCACGGTGCTCAAAATTTAAAATAAAGAGGCTTCAAAGTTCAGCCCTAAGTACAAAGTGATTACTGTGTGTTTGTATAATGCTATTTTGTATTTTATTTTAATTTTAATGTATTTATTTTTTATTATTAGTTCAAATGTACAGGCTGAAAAGACTATATAATGAAATATATTAATATATCAACATAAAAACAAAAACAGAATACAGTAATAAGTATAAATAATGCAAAAAAATACAGAAAAACAACATAAACAAATACCCCCTGACACCGCAAAATTCCCCAACATCATAAGGGCCCGTGGCAGCATCCACTTTTGTTCACCAGAAAGTCAACGTCGGCCACCCTCTTCCATTAAACATAAACACATAACTGTATACTTAATATAAACAGTAATGACACTCAAATACCGCTGTATAAAGAAAGTCATATAAATAAACCAAATTTAAGTAGTTCCAGTTAACGAGTATATAACTAAAATAAATGATTAAAAATAATAATAATTAAATCATATAAAAACAAACATCTAACGAAATGCTCAAAAGAAATAAGTTAACTATTCATTCATTCATTCATTCATTCATTTTCTTGTCGGCTTATTTCCTTTATTAACCCGGGGTCGCCACAGCGGAATGAACCACCAACTTATCCAGCAAGTTTTTACACGGCGGATGCCTTTCCAGCTGCAACCCATCTCTGGGAAATATCCACACACACATTCACACACACACACTAATACACTATGGACAATTAAGCCTACCCAATTCACCACATGTCTTTGGACTGTGGGGGAAACCGGAGCACCCGGAGGAAACCCACACGACGCCAGGGAGAACATGCAAACTCCACACAGAAATGCCAACTGAGCCGAGATTCGAACCAGCGACCTTCTTGCTGTGAGGCAACAGCACTACCTACTGCACCACTGCCTCGCCTTATAAGTTAACTACCGAAACAAAAATAAATAATACTAATAATATTAATAATAGTAATAACAACCACAACCAACAACAACAAAATATAAAATATACGTGAATAAATGAAATAATCTCAGCTCTCAGGTCTTACGTCCTCTGAAACAGAATATTAAAGTTTTACATGGAGAGCAGAGGTGTTTATACCGAACATGTTTATGGACTTTTTATTCGTTGCATACATTGAAGTAATGCTTTCACACGTCAAAAATACTGACTGTCAGGGTCACCAACTCTGTTCCTGGAGAGCTACCTTCCTGCAGAATTCAGTCCCGACCCTGATCAAACACACCTGAACCACTTAATAGTACCTAAAGCAGCACTTGATAATTACAAGCAGGTGTGTTTGGTCAGGATTGCAACTGAAATCTGCAGGAAGGTAGCTCTCCAGGAACAGGGTTGGTGACCCCTGACTTAAAACCTTGTTAAACTACAAAAGGAAGAGGGTTTGGACAGAGCATCAGTGTCTCTTGTCTCAGCCATCGCGTGCAATGTTTACGTGACCTCTCTATAATGCTATTTTTATATTATTTTCAGTCATTCTCCATTAATGTAGCATTTTCTCTTTCTGTTTCTATGACCAGTGGCCTTTCTTTTCAACTGGATCGGGTTTTGCTTGTCCTTCTGTTTGACCAATACCATTGCTGGTCGATATGGTGCTATCTGCGGCTTTGGCCTTTCTCTTATCAAGTGGATCCTCATTGTCAGGGTGAGTCTCAGAGTTCCATTACTACAGAGTTCATTCTGTTACTCAGAATACATTAATTAATTAAAAAAGTGATTATCTAAAACGGGGGTCACCAATCCTGGTCCTGGAGGGCCGGTGTCCTTGCAGGATTTAGCTCCAACTTGCCTCCACACATCTGCTTGGATGTTTCAAGTATTCCAAGTAAGACCTTGATTAGCTTGTTCAGTTGTGTTTGATTAGGGTTGGAGCTAAAATCTGCAGGACACCGGCCCTCCAGGAACAAGTTTGGTGACCCACGTAATAATTAATAGACTTTAACTATAATGACCATTAAAAACAACTGGCTCAGATTGTGATTTGTGATTTTTAATGGTTCTCTACTTTTCAGTTTTCAGATTACTTTACCGGGTACTTCAATGGACAGTACTGGCTCTGGTGGATTTTTCTGGTTCTTGGTGAGATTTTTTAAATTATTTAATTGTTATTTTCTTTATTAATTATTATTTTTCAAACGAAGGTTAAACTGAGTATGTATAGTTTGGTGGTGTAATCATATCAAAATGAGTGTCAAAATAATAGTTTAGGTTTTTCTTAAGTCAGTCCCGACCCATTATTTAATTTAATTCTCCACCGCCATCTGCTGGTTAACTGACTACAATACCATTCAAATTCAGTTCTGTTGATAATACACAGCTGTGGAAAAACTAGCAGTGGATTTATTAGGAATGTTTTTGACTAAAATGTTAAAATATTGTTTAATTCTATAAATATTTGATAACATTTTATCTAAATCTGAAATAAAAATATTGTCATTTATAGCATTTTGTTTGACATGAAACAGCAATTGGTCAGAATAACAAATACAATGTTTTTATTTGTTGTAATTTGAAAATCAGGGTTATCCCAACAAATATAAATTTCGTAACTTTTTTGGCATTATGTTGTCTAAAAATGAATGTAAATAGCTTAAAACAAACTTTTTTGTTATTTTATGAGAGTATTAATGATCTATATTACAATATTTGTATTTAATTTTGGGAAAGAAATGTCTTTAAAACTTTACAGAAAAATTAAAAAAGCTTACGTTTTACTAACAAACAACTATAAATCATAACATTTTAATCCTGATTTTTACAGATTTATGCAGGCTACATACAGTTGATATCAAAATGATAGCCCTTCTGTAATGTTTTAATTATTTAAAATATTAAATATGTGAACTTTTCTGAACATCACTTATGAAATATACAGTTGAAGTCAGAATTATTAGCCCCCCTTAAATTTATTTTTTTCCTTTTTTGAATGTTTCGCAAATGCAGATCAAGGAAATTTTCACAGTATGTCTGATAATGTTTTTTCTTCTGGAGAAAGTCTTATTTAATTTATTTCGGCTAGAATAAAAGCGTTTTTAAATTTTTTTTTAAACACCATTTTAAGATCAAAATTATTAGCCCCTTTAAGCTATATTTTTTTCTGATTGTCTACAGAACAAACCATCAACATACATTGACTTGCCTAATTACCCTAACCTGCCTAGTTAAGCCTTTAATTTTTTACTTTACGATGTATCGAAGTTTCTTGAAAAATATCAAGTCAAATATTATTTACTGTCATCATGGTAAATATAAAACAAATCAGTTATTATAAATGAGTTATTAAAACTATAATGTTTAGAAATGTGTTGAAACATCTTCTCTCTGTTAAACAGAAATTGGGGAAAAAATAAACAGGGGGGGCTAATAATTTGGACGGGCTAATATTTCTGACTCCTACATCACAGAATCAAGGGATAATATTTTTGCTTTCAACTGTATGTACACATTTTGAATGTTCAACAACATATAATTTTAAACAATAAATAATTGCTGCAGTTTTGTATTTGCTACTATTTATAAAGCACTTTTAATGCCATGATTTGACCCAAAGCGCTGTACAGAAATTGGTTGCACTTATTTCCTCTTCATGAATATGTGGTGGTGTTTCTTAAGCCCTGATATGAATAAAACATTCATTTTTAAGGCTTTTTCATCTGGTAGATGGAGTGGCCAGAGCCCTGACTTGATCCAGGTATTGATCTTTAACCTGTTTTCCCTCCTCCCCAGGGCTCCTGCTGTTCTTCAGAGGGTTTGTGAACTACCTGAAAGTGCGTAACATGTCAGAAAGCATGGTTTCCTCACTCAGAACCCGCTTCTTCCTCCTGTACTAGAGGTGAGGATGACTTTACACACACTTATAAAAGAGCAGAACGTCCATTCAAATTGATTCGTAGCATTTTTTTTTGTGCATAGAATGTATCCTGAGCTAAAAAAAGAAGAATAAAATAACTAATATTAATACATTAGCTTGGTTTGCAAAAGGCTCCTATTAAAATGTCATTCAGTTTAATAACAGTAGCATATATACAGTTGGTCAAAATTATTAGCCCTCTTAAGGAATTTGTGTGTTTTAACTGAGATTTTCAACACATTTCTAAACTTAATAGTTTTAATAACCAATTTGTAATCACTGATATCTTTTCCATAATGACAGTAAATAATATTTTACTAAACATTTGGCAAGATGCTAGTATTTAGCTTAAAGTGACATTTAAAGGTTTAACTTCGGTTTATTTATTTATTTATTTATTTATTTATTTATTTATGTGTGTATGTATGTATGTATTTATTTATTTATTGCTTTATTTTTTATATATTTATTTATTATGTATGTATTTATTTATTTATTTATTATTTATTTATTTGTGTATTTATGTATGTATTTATTTATTTATTTATTTATTGCTTTATTTATTTTGTATTTATTTGTTTATGTATGTATGTATGTATTTATTTATTTATTTATTTATTTATTTATTTATTTATTTATTTATTTATTTAGGGCTAATAATATTCACTTTAAAAAGTCTTAAAAATTTAATAAAAGAAGCATTGTTTTCACCAGAAGAACATATTAGGATCTATTGTGAAAATATTCTGGCTCTGTTAAACATCACTTGGGACATTTTTGAAATAGAAAACAAAATTCAGGGCGAAAAATTACACTTCAACCATCTTTAACACAAATCTTGTATTTACATACCACAATATGTTTTTTTAGGATTACAGTGCAACCCCAAAACACTTTTTCAGGGTATCCTCAGGGTCCTAAAAAGTCCTTAAATGTTTTAAAGTGACTGTAATATTGTTTTGTAGGTCAAAAATCTTTTTAAACGTGTCTTAATTTTCCTTTGTTCATGTAAAGCTACCCAGAAACACATCCAATCACCAACAAAACTTTTAGAACGGTTTGTTGTGCATTCATTTAATTTTTAAAGAGTTTTTTTATGTTGTGAATTGTGTTAAATAGTTGTAAAAATATATGTATATATCTTGGATCTGCTTGTTTTGAGAAATTATTACAAATATCTGGCTAAAAATAACTAGAATTATAGGCAAATCATATTACATAGGGCAAGTACATTTTTCCTTATGGGCCATTAAAAAAACCTGTGTAAGTGTGGAATTTTATTCCTTATGGTCTTAAAAAGGTCTTAAAGTCTTAAATTTGACTTTGTGAAACCAGCAGAAACCCTGTCTTTGTTCATTCAAATTAACATGCACAGTTTGCACATTATACACATTTATCATGATCACTTATTCTTGTATGTATTACTGTAAATGCTGGATAGAATAAATATACCATCTGTTCCTCTAAAACTTATTTCACCCCATATTTTGACATTTTTACAAACATTATTTGAAATATGTGTGCATTTTGCTTCGATACGTTTCCAGTTTTATACATTTTATTTGATTCAGACATCAAAACAGGACATCTTTACCCATGCATTTAGCTTTTACAACAGAATATTGTAATTCCAGTAGTTGTGTTTAGCTGTATTGAGGACATAGGGCAAGAAATAGTACACAGTAAAACATTATATGACAAAAAGTCATGAAAACAAAGGTTTTATGCTACTTATTAGTTACCAGTTAATCAGGTTTCAACAAAATTGTTTGAATTGTATAAGGTTTAACTTAATATTTGTATTCAGTTTGACAAATGTAAGTCGCGATGACAAGAAAAAAATAATTTGATTCAACTAAACAATTTAAGGCAGTAAGATTTATTATTTTTTTTACAGTGTAGCTTTAGTTAGGTTTGATCATTTTCATCTTTTGCAAACAAAATTTTTAATCTCATTTTCTTTTAGTATCATATGATTGCTTATTAAAAATGGTAATGTTATTTGAGTTTACTTTAATTATAAGTAAACATTATTATTTTTTAATATATTATTTATGTCTGTTTTATTAAAGTGCATTTTATTTGTTTTAATATTTGGTACAGAAAATTGGTCAATAATGAGTGATGCAATGACAGTTTAATTACATTCATTCTAATCAATTATTTAATAGACATTGCAATTTGAGCAGGTAAAGTGTGTTTTTTATTGAAATGATTATATTTATTCAGATTTTATTATCCTTTACTTTAAAGTATAGTATTATATCAGTATTATGTGTAGTATAGTATTAATATAGTATTATAATATCATCTTTTTAATGTGTTAATATGTTTGACTGCTGCTACTAAATACTTTAACAGACCAAAGCTGTCACTTTTTTTTCCCTTGTGGTAAGCTTAATTACTGTGGCTGTCATGTTATGTGTTGAACGTTGCCTTGAGAAGAAACATTTCCTCTTTGGTCAGGAATTGCCTAATATGCATAATTACCAAGCTGGAAAATAACCAAGCAAAACACACGCATAGCCAAAAATCCTCTTTTGATATTTGAGATAACTCGTTTGCTCTCAGATGACTTAATAAAAAGGGGAAAACAAAAGGTAAACATGCTTTTACTGATGCTGATTTAGGGCTGCATGATATTAGAAAAATCTAGCATTGCGAATTATTATTATTATTATTATTATTGTTATTGTTATTATTGTAATTATTTTTTATTATTGTTTTCATAGGGATATATATATATATATATATATATATATATATATATATATATATATATATATATATATATATATATATATATATATATATATATATATATATATAGCATTTTGATAAATAACTTAATATTTCTATTTGGCAGGAATTAATGATGTTAGATCCATTGATTGAGATGGTTTTGCAGTGGGAGTGCATCTCTATAAAATCTGATAAGCAATCTATAACATTTTTGGGGTCCCCTGACAACTTTTGATGTAGTCTGTGCTATTTGCAGTGCATTTATTTATTTGCATGTGTTTTTTCATGAATAATAATCTAAAAATACAATCAAGTAAAAGATTTTAAAAATGTGTTTTACCGTTTTTCGAGTTTTTAACAGTATTCAAGTTTAGTAATTAAATGATAAACATAATATATATTTTTTTAATTACTTGTTGTTAAAGCTACAAATGGTACAATTTATTGTGCTTGAATGCTTTTAACATGTAAATTAATTACTTAACTCAGTGCTAATTACAGTCCTCATATATATATATATATATATATATATATATATATATATATATATATATATATATATATGCATACCTACTTAATTAAATTACTTATTTTTGTTATTTTTACCACTTAATGAGATTAAACTATTTAATTAAAAATATATAATAATTAAAAACAAAGTATTGCAATTTAAAAAAATAAATAAATATTTATAAATAAAACAAACCTTGAGTCAAAAACAAAATATAAAAGTCACAATGTCATAAATAAAATCAAACTTTCAGTCATTAGAACTATGATTTATGAGTTGCATATAACTGTGATAAGTGACAAATATTTCTGTGAGTTACCAATATTTCTGTGTACAAATATTGCTTGATTAAATTTTTTTAATCACTAAAACTAAAATGAATTAGTCATAGTTTAAATATTTTTGTGTACGTTCATTAGATTCAACAGATTATTTTAAAATAAATGACATTGATTTATGATTTCAATGTTACATTATGTGGCAAATGTATTTATTTCATAAATAATTTAACTATTATTATTATTATTATTATTGTTGTTATTATTGTTATTATTATTAATATCATCATTATTAATATTATTATTATCATTATTGTTGTTGTTATTATTTTGTTATCATCATCATCATCATCATCATTATTTTTATCATTATTATTATTAATGTTATTATTGTTGTTGTTGTTATTATTATCATCATCATTATTATTATTATTATTATTATTATTATAAATGTTGTTATAATTACTTTTATTATTATCCTCATCATTATGATTATTATTATTATTATTATTAATGTTATGGTTATTATTATTATTATCGTCATCATTATTATTAAAATTTTATTCATTTTATTATTATTCATGTTATTATGGTTATTATTATTATTTATTAATGTTATTATTTTAATCATTATTATTATTATTATTATTGTTATTATTATTATTGAGTCTAGTTATATTCTAATGCTAGGTTAATTCTGTATGTAGAAAATACCAATTAAAATAACAAAAGATGTTATATTATACATGTTTTACACCACACTGTGGAAGTGCCTTTATTTTATTGAAGCAGGCAAACACTTTTTTTTTTTTTTGAGGGAATTGGTGGGGGATTTGTTCCAGAGTTCAAGAAGAACTGATTATGCTTTTGTTAACTTGGACATGCAAGCCGGATGTAATTTGCTTCATTGATAATGGCTCTCATAACCTTGCTTGTATGCAGTTTGCACAATGAAGGCCGTGGTGGCAAATCTCCAGAAAACAAGCTTCACTCTCATTCACTCTGTCTCTTTCAAGGTCGCCTCACCAAAACATTCCTCCCTAATGTGAAATTCCTTCATGATTTGCAACCCGTCAAATGAACTGGACTGGATCCCACTGAGGGGAAGAGGAAGAAGAGAGAGAGAGAGAGAAAATCAAACACAAAACGAGTATCTCTGCCAAATGTTTTGAACTCAACCCGGTGAAAATGAACTCTGAACGAGTGCAAATCAGCTCCCAGTATTCAGTTTTTTCAGAACTTCCCTGCCTCCCAAAAACTTCTTAATACTGTATTGCAAACATACACACACAAAAACTTACCAAACATTGCATGAAATGTAATGGATTTATGTGTATCAGCAAAAATGACTAGAAAATATGCAGTCCAGACCAATGTTGGGTACGTTACTTCAAAATAGTAATTATTAGTTACTAATTGTATCATTAAATTACTTTGTCTGAAAAGTAGCTTAATTGCTCAATATTTTATTTAATTACTTGACTCAGTTCTACTTAAAATCATCGTAAATATCAAGCATGTGCATCACTGTTTCTTCATCATGTGTAATCGTCTTTGCTTAGTTCTTTGCTTAGTCCAAAGTGCAAAATTTTCATATGTGTCTTTTTTTCCTGTATTTAAATCCGGAATTTTTTTTCACACACACAAACCTTGCACACCGAGTCCAATACATATGAATTAATCTATTGCAAAATAATTCATAAAACAATAGATGAATTACCGGTGTGCTAACATTCAGGATATGCGCTTGCAGCGAGGTTGCAGTAAAAAACCATGAGCTCTAGCATTTACAGCGAGGGAATGACATCCGATGCCGTACAGAGTTTGTTGTTGCCTTAGAAATAAGTTCTATTGATTACATATTATATATATTATTTACATAATGCTTTCAGTATATTATAACAGCTCGTCACCCAGTGATAAACACAGTTATTCAGCAAAATTAATGTTGAAGTGAGCGGCGTTCGTCTGACAGGTCCATTTGCGATAGCACCCTCCCAATAGATATTGGGTAGGATGAAATGGCCAAGCATACAGCCCCAAAATATACAAATATCTCATTGAAACTCCAAGTGTTTTTACAAGAGAAGTTAAAGGCCTGTAAGTCTTTGGATGCCAACAATTTTGTTCTGTGTGGTCATGTGCAAGAAATAATGCTCCATGATTACCAGATTGAAAACTTTGTAGTACCAAAAACCGAGGTTCTGCCTAGCCAAAGACAAGGAAAGAAGACGGAGCTATACAAGGGCTGGCTAATCATCAACAAGCAAAACAACAGCATTCTGACAGCGAACTGCACCTGTAGCAGGGTATGTGAACTTACATGTTTATATTTCAATCTAAGCATTCAGTGTCGGCAGTTTAATACACCATACCAACTGTTTTTGCTAAAATCATTGCTGCAATCAAAAGCGGGTAATGTTTATGATTCAGCGTAGCGTAAACTTACCTGACATAAAATAAGAAATGCAGAGTCCAACATTTTTAATTAGGTCCTCACTCCATTCAGCTCCCCTTTAGCCAAAGACATCTGCAGTTGGCATTAAAACCAGTGTGGTGTACAGTAAAATTTTAGTTTTGTTGAAGCCTGCATTGTTTATAGCAGAGGTGCTCAATCCTGTTCCTGGAGATCTACCTTCCTGTACAGTTTAGCTCAGGGATGGGCGAACTTGATCCTCGAGGGCCGGTGTCCCTGCAGAGTTTTGTTCCAACACTAGTCAAACACACCTGAACAAACTAATCAGTGTCTTCAAGATCACTTGAACTCTATAGGGAGGTCTGTTTGAATAGGGTTGGAGCTAAACTGTGCAGGTCACCGGCCTTCCAGGACAGAGATTGCCCACCCCTGGTTTAGCTCCTACCCTGATCAAACCCACCTGAACCAATTAATCAGGACCTGAAATCCACTTGATAATTACAGACAGGTGTGTTTGATAAGGGTTGCAACTGAAATCTGCAGAAGGTAGATCTCCAGGAACAGGATTGGCCACCCCTGGTTTATAGTGTATGTGACATATTCTGAGACAAAAACGTAATGTGCATGTAATGGACCTTTTTGTAATAACAGAGGTTTAATAACAGAAATTTACCAGAAATCTAAATTTAAGGAAATTTCTGTAATTTAATGTCAGTTATTTTACAGTAAATTTCTGTAGATTAACGGCCGTTATTTTACGTTTTTTTTTCGGCACCCCAGCTGCCGTATATAAACCGTAAAGTTACAGATTTTTTTTACAGTGCACATTTTGTAATAGACGTGCCAGGCACGAAAGCTTGTAACAACAGTAACTAAAGAGGGTGGTGCTTAGCGAAGGGTCAGTTGCTGGATTATATTGAGCATATAGTGTCACACTAGAGGACATGGTTTTCAATGACAAAAATCTATCATTGTTTTAGAAATGTGTATATAAAAAAATAGCCACTTGTAAAATTAGGCATCTTTTCAATTTATAATAGTTGCCAAATATATGCTTGAGCCAAAATACATAATAACACAGCAGTTTTTATAGAAGTCAAATAACTGATGACATTTACTGCATTTTAATTGCTACTCATATTCAGTTCACTACAGTGAAAATGCTACGTCACATCAACAAACTGATTTGGGCTGTTGAATTTATGCACTGCATTAAGGGTGCTTTCACACTAGCACTTTTGGTCCGCACCCAGGTTCATTTGACGTCATAGTACGGTACGTTTAGCTAGTGTGAACGTGTCTTCTGAACTCGGGTGCGCAACCGTGAACCGTACCAGAGTCCGCCTGAAAGAGGTGGTCTGGGGTACGGTTCATGAGAACTCTAGTATGGTTCACTTCTGATGTAAATGCAATCATACCAAATAACGGAAGTGAAACGCCAACTGTACAACAAACTATCGTTTTCATAACGTTCGTTCGTTCGTGTGTGTGTGTGTGCCACGTTTCGTAACTTGGTGACGCGTGCGGGTCTGAGCCAGGGCAAACACAGTGATGCACAGGGATGTCTGCTTGTCTACTCCAAAAACAGCTCCTGCAGACGCTGTGTGATGTCTTGAATGTTTCTAACATTTTTGAGGCAGATGGACGCGAGTCGCTTTCTGCATGTCCAAAACCAAAAGCTTCAGTTAAAGCAGAATGTACGCGATGTGCGGACGTCTTTCCATTTTGGCACTTGCTTTCGTGACTGTCGCCTAGCAACGGCTGTAAACAAAACAGCAGCTCAGTGATGCAAGCGTACCGGGGTTCAGAAGGAAAAAAGACAGTATGAACACAAAACAACCGAGGAGGTGGCAAGGGGAGACAATCGAACTTGGGTACGGTCCAGGCAATTGAACCAAGTGTGAAAGCACCCTAAAAGATCTGCGTGGGACTAAATTTTAAATCCCGCTTCCGCCAGGTTTTAGCCCGAACCCGACCGCTCCTGCTTGTATTCAGCATTTGTTGTCCCGCTGCCCGACGCGCCCTGCCCCGTTTTCTACCCGCCACGCCCGTTCCTGCTAAAGAGTGGGGGGAGAACTAAACCGAAAACCACCCAGCTATACAGAGTCCAGACAGCCTATAACAAGCTGTCTGTATCAACACACACACACACACACACACACATAAGCGCCAAGCAAGTGACAAACACACACACACCAACACCAACAAACAAGCTAAACGCAGCATCACGCTGTCTCATTCACACACATACATATGCGAGCGAGCGAGTCGGGAGCGATATTGCTAGACTGCCGCTCCCGTCCAAAATTAAACCAGTTACTGACCGCTCCCGTGCTTTTTTAGGAAATTTATTCCCATGCCGCAGAAATCTGGTCGGGTCCCGCGGCTGCAGAATGCAGACCTCTACCCTAAATAACTAATTAGATTACCTAAAAAATAAAGAGAATCCTTTACTTTTTTCAGATTAAAAGTAATTTAATTACAGAAACGAGTTACTTTGTAATTAATTACACCCAACACTGGTCAAGACCTCCTATGCAATGTCTTTTAACAAACTTGGTTAGATTGATGCTACTAGACTAGTTTAATTCCCTTTTGCTTCATTGCATCCAAGGCCTTGATTGCATTGCAGTGTCAATGAGAGAAGAATAGTTTTAGGTAGAATTTGACTAGTAAGCTATAATTGCAGTTTCTCCTCTTCTTAACTCTCGCTTAACTTTATAGTAAATGATTAAGTAATTTCATTGATGTGTTTCGAACTGGAAACGGAATTTGTACTTATCCTGAAATATATATTTGCCTTTTGCACCTTGGTTTAGTTTCCTTCCTCCCTCTTTTGATTTCAGTGTTTGTTGTTATTAAGTTGTGCTCAAGCTGTGACCTGCTTAGATGACTTTAGTTACTTGAATGCCTGAATGCTAATGTCATTTGTTTCTATTAATCACAAGCCTCTTCAGCAATATCAGATATTCAGACAAATGCATGGTTAACTCAGCGGATTAACTGACTGATCCAGTAAACAGACAATACTTAAGGATTTTGGATGAGATGATTGTGTGCTGTATGTTTATTCTCTTGTCTTGCATAATGCCAATAAAATTGGAAACTCTGCGTACTTTTTTTTCCTCTTCTTTTTGGATTTTTGTTTTAAGCTTATTTCTGAGTATTTCACTCATTTGCTGGTTAGTAATTAAAACCACTATTATATTTCAGCTGTGTTAATATGATTATAATCGTCTATTCATTAATTCATACTGCATTTATAGAGAGGAATAAGTTATAATTATATAATTATATTTAATTTTAGTACATTTGTTTATCTACTATTAATTTATTAATTAATTTATCCATTAATTTATTCATCCAGACAGACATTTACAGTCTTCTATTCATCTTAAATGCAGATGATCAATGCTTTAAACTGTATTTTATTTATTTATTTATTTATTGATTCATTCATTCATCCATACAGAAATTTACAATCTTCTATTTACCTCAAATTCATGTGGATTTAAAGAGACGAATAAGTTTTCAATACTTTTAACTGTTAATTTATTTATTTATTCATTCATACATACGTTCATTGGTTCACTCATCCATACAGAAATTTGCAATCTTTTATTCATCTTAAATGCATGTGGATTTAAAGAGATGAATTAGTGATCAATACTTTTAACTGTTAATTTATTTATTTATTCATTCATACATACGTTCATTGGTTCACTCATCCATACAGAAATTTGCAATCTTTTATTCATCTTAAATGCATGTGGATTTAAAGAGATGAATTAGTGATCAATACTTTTAACTGTTAATTTATTTATTTATTTATTCATACATACGTTCATTCGTTCACTCATCCATACAGAAATTTGCAATCTTTTATTCATCTTAAATGCATGTGGATTTAAAGAGATGAATAAGTGATCAATACTTTTAACTGTAATAGTTTATTTATTTGTTCATTAATTCATACAGAAATGTGTAATCTTCTATTCTTTTTACATGCATATGGATTTAAAGAGATTAATAAGTTATCAGTAATTTTAACTGTAATTGTCTTTCATTTAATTATTCATTCATTCATCCATCCATCCATAAAGAAATTTACAATCTTCTGTTCATCTTAAATGCATGCTGGATTTAAAGAGATGAATGAGTGATCAATACTTTTAACTGTTATTGTTATGTATGTATTAATTATTTTATTTAATTAATTAATTTATTTATTTATTCATTCATTCATTCATCCATCCATACAGAAATGTGTAGTCTTCTATTCATCTTAAATGCATGTGGATTTAAAGAGATGAATTAGTGATCAATACATGTAACTGTAATTATTATTTATCTATTAGTTTATTTATACATTTGTTCATTCATTCGTTCATTTATTCACTCATCCATACAGACATTTGCAATCTTCTATTCATCTTAAATTCATGTGGATTTAAAGAGATGAATAAGTGATTAATACTTAAAACTGTATTTATTTGATTATTTATTTACTCATTCATTCATTCATTCATTCATTTATCCATTCGTTCATTCATCCATACAAAAATTTACAATCTGAAATGTATGCTGGATTTAAAGAGATGAATAAGTGATCAATACTTTTAACTGTAGTTGTATTTTATTTATTTATTCATTCATTCGTTCATTCATTCATTCATACAGACATTTATATTTATAGAGATGAAAAAGGTATAAATACTTTAAATTGTAATTTTATTCATTCATACAGATGTTTACGGTCTTCTATTCATCTTAAACGCATGTGGATTTATAGAGATGAATAAATGATCAATACTTTTAACTTTATTTATTTATTTATTTATTTATTTATTTATTTATTTATTTATTTATTTATTTATTTATATACATTCATCCATACAGAAATTTGCTATCTTCTATTCATCTTAAATACATGCTGGATTTAAAGAGATTAATAAGTGATCAATACTTTGAACTGTATTAGTATTTTATAGATTTTTTTACACACATATCTAAACAGAAATATACAGTATACACTTTAAAATGTCACACATTGGTCTTTTAAAGACAAAGTGAATCATAATCATAATTTATACTAATTTGTTTTTGCAATGTCACTTAAAAAATAATAATAAAAATGAAAGAATATTTAAAAATAGCATGTGCGGTGTCATAAAAATAACATGCATACACAACAATCTCTGATACAAAACTGGCATCCATACCAACACACCCATAATTATAATTACATCATTTTAATTCATCTAGATTGCAGTGCTTAAATGCTGAAAACAGGAAAAAGGCGATTATATGCTGCATGCAAAGGCCAAACATGAAGAAATGTGCCAAGATATTACACTTTTTATTTTTATTTTTTCTTCTTTTCTTTACTATTTTGAAGCCTTGCCAACTAAGTGGAGGCCTGTTAACAAAGAATGCAAGACATTTTGCTTAAACAACACTATGAAATACTGCTGCTTTAATGGGAACATTTTGTCTCGATCATCCTGGCAGGAACTATTTTTGTACCTAGAGTGCAAAAGATTTATGAAAGGAAATGACTTTGGCCAATTTTTATCCTGTTTGCATTAACACTGGCAAAATTATCAACCAAAAATAGGCCACAATTAACAATAAGGTTTCATTAACGTTAGGTCATGTGTTTACTTATTACTAACAATAATTCAGGATTTGTATATCATAGTTTTATTATTAAAGTTAACTTCTGACTCCAAGTATTAGAGTTAACATGAACTAACAATGAACTACTTTTTTTTATTAAATGTGACCTATTATGCTAAAATCACTTTTAGAAGGTGTTTAAACACCATTGTGTTGCAGCAGTGTGTGAATATAACCAGCTTTTAATAGTAAAAATGTATTAATCTAATTTTTTTATAACCACTCTTGATAAAAATAGTCTGCAGAAACACTTTGATTGACATTTTCCCTTTGTACGTGTCATCAGAGGGGAAATAAGCCCCGCCCATCAGTGACTATCTCTCCCTCATTAGCATAAAAGGTTAGTCTTGTTTTTGAATCTACCACTATGCTGACACACAGGCATTTGTAGCTCCGCCCTTTAAAAAAAAACACACAATCTCATTTAAATTTAAAGCGACAGTCACCAAAATGGCCTAAAAGGGTTAGTTTCAAGGGTTAGGTATTTTGATGTAATGTAATATATGTGAATGTGTTACACACAAATAAATAAACCAGACTTAAATGTTCATAGATGCACAAGTGTGGTAAATGTGATGCTAAATGACGTATAACACTTTGATTTTTAATGCACCAATGCTGTAAAACCTTGAGACTATCAGAGTTGCATATTACAGACAATCACATATGAATGTTGTTCATTCAGTTCCATAATAAGTACCAAATCAACATCTTCACCACCAATATCCATCCACTTAAAAACGATTTCTTCATCTCTACCACTAAGGGGCACTTTTTCATCTAACCCGTTTTCAAGTGTTTGCATACATACACACACACACACACACACACACACACACACACACACACACACACACACACACACACACACACACACACACACACACACACACAGAAAGAGAGAGAGACAGAGACAGACTCTTAATAAACTTTTAATGAGTGACCCATTTACATAACGCCTTTCCGGACGACACATGGTACTGCTGTTGTAAACTGCATTCTTCCGGTCTTTTCTTCTAGATGGATGCCTTGCTGCATCCAAGTCATTCATATATATATATATATATATATATATATATATATATATATTTTTTTTTTTTTTTTTTATATATATATATTTAATTTTTTTTAAATATATATATATTTTTATAATATATCATTATATTTTTTTTTTCACAATATTGATAAATCATAAACAAGCATTGTATTTACAGTACTTCACAATTAACATTTACATACAATAAGAGAAACATATGAAAAATAAATGTCATTTTTTTGTATTAATATTTATTATTTTGTTTAATTATTATTTTTGGAATTCTTGCATGTATAAATAAAAATACTGTATAAAACTGGTGCATTTATTGGATGAATTTATTTATTAACACAATTAATTAAGTAGAAAAAGACCACATAAACATCATATAACTAATTGAATATTGACAGTATAAGGGTTTGACATTACAGGAAAAATCAATGCTACTTCAGTGTTTTAATAAAATATTATTATTATTAATAATAACAACAATAATAATAACAATAAAGGCCACATAATACAAAGGGAGATACAATATTTGAATGTTTAGTATTTTAATGTATTTTATTATTATTATTATTTATTTACAATTTTTATTCTTATTATCATTATTAATATTACTGTAATTGTTTTAAATATTATTATTTTTATTTTATTACTATTATATATATATATATATATATATATATATATATATATATATATATATTCTATATATATAATTACTATTATTGTTACTATTTAAATTTTTTATTATCATTACTATAATTATTATTAATTTTATTATTATTGCTAATTATTATTATTATTATTAATAATATTATTTTAATTTTGTTTGCATACACATAAATGTCAAATATTACATTTAATTCAGTGATGTTGAATAAACAGCTATCAACATACTACACTGTGTACGCGTGCGTGCGTGTGTGTGTTTGTGTTTGTTAGTGAAAGCGCAAGGGCCATACTGACAATTGCTGTCGGCAGCATTTTCAGGTTTTTTTTTTGTTCCTGGCCACGTCTAAAGCGAGTAATGCACCCACTGGCCTCTCCTCCTCCTCCTCCTCCTCCTCCTCCTCCTCCTAAAGGCTTTCCGGCCCGGCGGGTAAATAGTGTGTGTTCTGGGCTCCTCCACTCAGTGCTCCACATGCACAGGTACAGAGAGGAATGTCACGGGCTGCGTCTCAACCTGCACAGAGTCGCGGCCCGCCTACCTGCTGCTTTTCTTCCTCCTGTTCACTCTTAATTGTTTGATCTTCAAACTGTGGCGCTATATGCAACCAAAACCAAGTCGACAAATCTATCTTGTCAGGTCATATGCAATCCTTTACTTGCAGTCGAGATTCATTGAAAGGACTAGAACTACGTTTCTACAGCAAACTACAACCATAATACTTCAC